CCTTCTGCCGACATGCGTGTATATATATAATTAAAGTGGGCTCTGCCGACATGCATGTATATATATAATTAAAGTGGGCCTTTTTTTTCCCACCAAAGCAGCCCTTGTTGTTTTGTATGAGAAGAATTACAAAGTTTCCATAATGTTTAACTTTAAATCCACTTCCCCTCCTGTTGGCAATCGTTTCTTGTGTATATACATCTTTTTCAGCCCAATTGTAATCCATTTTGGAGTCCAATTCACAAAATAATAGGTCTAGCCTTTTGTCTCTTTATTCCAGCAATTTGATTGCATTTTTATCCAATTTTCGTACTTCTTTCTCTCCAATTGCTTCCAACGAGTCCTTCAATAAAAACAAAAGAAAATTAACCTAAGTTAAATAGAAATTAATAATTTGACGATTTAAAAGTTTAATAATATGTTATAAATAAATACACAAATTGTGCTTATCAAATACCCCTAAATTTAAACATTTGTTCATCCTCAAACAAAAATATATAACTTAAATAACAACAAACACACAAGGATGCAAAAATATTTAGTTGGACAGTTTAGTGTTTTACCTTTGGATTTGAAATCGCCGTATTAAATTCACAAACTGCTTCAAAGTCACAATGCCAAGTTAATATCTACTTTTTCAATGCAAAACTGACGTGTGCGCGCGCGAAGAGTTAAGTTGACATTAATGAATACACAAGTTGTTCCAATTCCCAATCCTGTAGATCAAATATATCATTTCATTTCTCGTAAGATTCACACACCCCCAAATTTATTTTTTTTCACTATTTTTCTAACGTGTGATCTAAGATTGAATTTTTAATTAATATCTTCACCTTTCCAATTCAGGTGGACGTCACTAGTTGTAAATCAACACACCAATGAACAAGGATTCTCAAATTATTTGATTGCTTAAACCGTCAAGACTTAATTAGGCTATTATCCTTCATTGAAAGTCAACTCCCTTGAACAAGTGTTGAGATTTAACAAGGTAATAAGTGTTTTTGCTTTTTTCATGCACTTTTTTTTTTGCACTCTCCCTTAAACTCTCTAAATGATCCTTGTAGCGGATTTTAGGTTGATCATTCCTAAGTCAAATGACTTTAGGGCGCCAAGTTTTAAGAGATCCTTGCAGGCTTAATTACTCGAGTCATAAAAGGTTTCAGAGAGAAATTTTAAATTTTGAAATATATACATTGATAAGTGTAATGCCCCTTATCACACACCTATTCAAGCAAATCGACCTCCAATTTAAGACTTTCACCCAATTTTATCTTGTTAATCTATGACAATCCACACAAAAATTTTCACACAATGAATCCATATTCACATGTGTATTTTCCTACAACAGTAAGATCGCCCCAAATTGTGTTAAATTTGGTCTAAAAATAAATAATTAGTATGGTTTAGGCAAAGCATCTATGTCCAACTAAATTAATCTATCAATTGCATGAATCAACTCATTTCATCACAATATCAAACGCAGTTCTAGTGCGCATATAATATCAAGTTCTGCAAGTTTAAATTTCAATCAATCTAACATGCTTCCTATCCACATTTCATAAATCAATACCAAATCTCAAGTTTAATCATCATTGTTAGCCAAACTGTCTAATCCACACAAGCACACAACCAAACATAAACAAATAAAAAAATTTTAAAAATAAAAAAAATTTAAATTTTTTTCTTTTTTACTTAACACACAAAATCATAAAAAAACCAAAAATTTAAAGTTTTTCTCACCCCCAAACTTAAACCTGACATTATATTCAATGTCTTAAAGCATAATCAAGAATGTAAGGGGATGGGAAAAGAAAAGGACGAAGGTACTCCCCGAATTTTTCTGTTGAGTGTGGAAGGGACTATGGCTGGTGGCTAGACAATCTTTCTCATCATGATTTTATCCTGGTCTATGTTGGTTTGAATGTTCCACGATATCATGTTCTTACATATGGCAGTCAAATCAAATAATAGAGATCAAATAATCTAGAACATGTGTTACTTAGCCCAAACACATCGAAGCAACCAACATTAAATTTTGGGGTCTCAGTGAAAACATGATTGAATGATGATACCCTATAAATTTAAACGTACTTAAATCTAATGCAAACTAATAATAAAAAAAAGTCTATATGCAATGCAATAAAGAAAGCAAAATAAAAAGGATTAGAAAATTAGGTTGTCTCCCAATAAGCGCTTAATTTATAGTTTCTAGCTAGACTCTATTGTTTTGGCTATTCATGGTGGTTTGAAGAGGGAATTTTTAGCTTTGCATTTTATGCACCGATTGCATTTCGTTCTTTCATCTTTCAACCTCCACAAAATAAAATTGCCACCGCTGTCCCTACCAACAATTCCACCTTCATTTGGCCTGTCTTTGTAGCTCTCCCAATGATTAACTCGTTGACAATCCTCAAAGTATGATGGTTGCTTGATGGATTCTCCATGGTAAAGCTCTGTTACTTATCCTCCACCCTCAAAACTATTTCATTAGCATCAAAATCTAGCAATACTCGGGTTGTAGACAAAAAATGGCCTTCCCAGAATTATTGGTATCTGAGATGCCTCTTCAATGTCAAGGATGATGAAGTCAGCTAGAAAAATAAACTCCCCGCCTTGATAAGCGTGTCTTTGTCTATTCCGTAAGGGTGTTTCAATGATCGCTTCGCTAGCTGAAGGATAATAGATGCTGCCTTAAGATCTCCTAATCCCAGTTTCCTGCAAAGAGGTAAGGAAATTGAACTAATACTCGCTCCTGAATCAACTAAATAATTTATATCATTTAAATTTCCTATGGAACAAGGTAGAGTGAAACTCTCTGGATCTTTAAGTTTGGGTGGGATCCTGTGCTGGATGATTGCACTGCACTCTTCAGATAGTGTTATTGTTTCATGTTCTGGCAGGTTTCTCTTCTTAGTCAACATCTCCTTCAAAACTTAGCATAATTTGGAATTTGTAGAATAGCGTCAATAAAAGGAATGTTGATGTGAAGTTATCCGAGGATGTTCACGAAATTTTTGAATTGTTTGTCTAGTTTATTGTTCTGTAACCTTTGAGGGAAAGGAACTAAAGGTGTGTGTTTATTGCTAAGAACTGTTGTCTTGACCTGTAGATTATCTGACTGTTCTTCTTGATTATCATTTGATGATTTTTCAGACTGACCCACTTGTTCTTCCCCCGAGGTAGGTATTCGATTCTCCTCAGTCCCTTTTTTCTTCACTGTGATTTCTGGCATCTGAACTTTGTCTTTGAAGCCTTAAAGGGAATGGGATAGGTGGCACATAAGCTCGAACAGGTGTAGCAAGCTTAATCGATGGTGTCTCAATAGTTGCATAATTCATAGCTTCCACTGCTAATACCTGCTCATTTAGGTTCTTTTCTGTATCGTTCAACAGAGTACCTTGTGCTCTGTTAGCTAATGCAGTTGCTATTTGTCCCACCTGTTTCTCTAAGTTATGTATAGAAGCTTGCTAATTTCGTATCACCGACTTAGTCTTGGTGATGTACTTGACAAGTAGATCCTCCAATGATTGCATCTTTTCTTCTTGTTGCTGAATCGCTGGTGGACAGTCCTTCATTTGATTTACTTGATCTGAATTATCAACCCATGCGTAGTTAGGATGCTTGTTCAAACTCGAATGGGAGTTGTATGTATAAGGTCTATTTTGCCTCTGATAGTTCTGTGCATAACTGACCTCTGCTGGTTGACTTATGTGAATAGAAGCCAAAGGGCAACTTGTAGTAATGTGATATTCCCCACAACCTACACACTTCGAAGCTGGAGTTTTTACCATATCACAAAATGGGTCAAAGTGTCGAACTTTCGAGTTATTGCCTCCATCTGTGCTGTCAACGCTGTCACTACGTCCACATTATATATACCAATTGTTTTCTTTTGGACTTCCCTATTGCTAGGCCACATCGATTGATTTTCTGCAATTCGCTCAAAAAGTTCCAAGGCATTATCCAACGGAATATCTAATGTCGACCCTCCTGCAGAAGCATCTGCAATGTTGCGAAATTCAGGTCTCAAGCTTGAATAAAATAGGCACATTTTTTATTCTTTAAGAATATTTAGAGTAGGGCATTTCCTGAAATACTCTTTAAATCTTTCCCATGCTTCTGGATAGCTCTCGAGATCTTTTTGCTTGAAAGTATGGACTTCATTTCGGATATGATGGACTCGAGATGGTGGAAAAAGTTTCAATGCAAACTCTGCACCATGTCATTCCATGAAACGATACTTCCAGGAGTTAAGGAATTTTAGCCATTCTCTTGCGCCCTCCTTTAATGTGTGAGGAAATAGGCGTAGTTGAAAATCATCCACAGACATTCCTTCGAGGCTAATCATATCACAAAGCATCAAGAAGGCTTGAATATGTTCATGAGGGTTTTCAGTTGATCTCCCAGAGAACCAGATATCTTGATGATTCGGGAACGAGTTGATAACATTAGATTTAATATGGAAGTTGGCCTGCCCAAAACGTGGATAAATAATAGCTGGTTGCATAGGGGTTGGCATGGGATTCACATAATCCCTCACTAAAGCTTCTCCTTGATTTGCTACTATCCTTGGTTGATCTGGTTGAGGTAATGGTAAAGGATTTTGAACTTGATTCGGATGTTGATTTTCTGTCATTTCTCTCGCTTGTCTCTGTTCTCTTCTTCGTTGTCTGAAAGTTCTTTCAATTTCGGAATATATTGGAAGAAGCTCGATCTCGTTAGAATTTTGCATAGACCGTGATTTCCTGAAAAGAGTAAAATGAGAGGCTTAGATCATTCAATGAATAGCCTAAAACAAATAAAGTAAAGGAAAAAAGTGAAAAAGGAATAAAAACTTCAAATCTAAAAATAACTAATAAACTCAAATTAAATAAATTATTTCCCGATAACAGCGCCAAAAACTTGTTCGTGAGATACTCGTAAGTGTACATGAATTTTGACAGGTAATAGATTTAGTGAGTTAAGAGTATCGTCCTACAAGGAATAAAATTTAACTTAGTGTACTAGTCCTTAATTAGATTCAAAGCAAACAAAATAAAAGTGTTTTGTGATTTTTAATTAACCTAACTTAATCTACGAAAGCGAATAAAATGTGAATTCAAAATGTATATGGGAAGAGTGTATTGAATTATGAATCCACCTATTATTATCTATTTTAATTCTTGACTATATAGCTAGTTTCGTTCTTGATAATCGATAATTCCATTGTAATTAATTTTCTTTTTCAAGACAAATTAAATCCATCCTATTCATAACCCGATCCTATTCCTAGTCCGAATTCATATGAATAGAATGCATTCAATTTCATAATTATCTCAAAAATTGCACACATGATAAATCTTATTCCTAAAATTTATTGCACGCATGTTAATCAAGCAGTGTTGTAGACCTATTGTGAGCCTCCGAACACTACAACAAGCAACCATATATTTAATTGGTGATCAAGCAATCAAAATTAATCAAAAATTGCAAGAATTCAACTAAATCACGTGTCTTGAGTTAAAAAATTATAATAATAACGGGTTTCATCTTCATCTAATACATGAGAAAAATTAGCCTAGCATAATGTTGAAATTAAACACATAAAATTGGAAAGATATCACCAAGAAATTGATGAAACGTGATTAATTCCACAAATTTGCTCAACTTTTGCGCGCGTGTTCATTTTTCCAAGGCAGTCGTCCCCTTGTACATGTGTGTCTAATTCCCAGTTGGCTTGTATGTATGTAATTCCAGCCAAAACTCTCCTCCTGCACAATTGTCGTTTATTAATGCGTGTTTATATATATAAAAATCAACCCACTTCTTCCTTGATATCTTTCTGTCGGCCGCCAATTTGTATGTATATAAAATATGATTTAGCCACACCTTTTTATTCCCTATAGCAACAATGTTGCACTCCTAGACAAATTCCAATTCTTCTCCAATTTCTCACCCGACAGTCCTTTGGTCTTTCCCCAGTTGGCTCTCGATTTCTCTCCTATAATTTCACTAGGCAGTTGCTTTTATGTATTCTCCTCTTGTCGCTGCCAACAATTGTATGTGCTTCTATTCAATTCTTTTCCAATGGTAGGACTCCATTTTTTTTTTCCAATGCATGAATTTGAGGGTAATTCCAGCCAAGTCACCCACCAATTCCCCCCCCCCCCCAAACTTTATGCCGACATGCGTGTGTATATATAAATAAAGTGGGCCTCTATTTTTTTTTTCACCAAAGCAGCCCTTGTTGTTTTGTATGAGAAGAATTACAAAGTTACCATAATGTTTGACTTCAAATCCACTTCCCCTCATGTTGGCAATCGTTTCTTGTGTATATATATCTTTTTCAGCCCAGTTGTAATCCACTTTGGAGTCCAATTCACAAAATAATAGGTCCAGCCCTTTTTATCTTTATTCCAGCAATTTGATTGCATTTTCATTCAATTTTCGTACTTCTTTCTTTTCAATTGCTTCCAACGAGTCCTTCACTAAAAACAAAAGAAAATTAAGTTAAATATAAATTAATAATTTGAAGACTTAAAAGTTTAATAATATGCTATAAATAAATACACGAATTGCGCTTATCAGTGATTAATGTGGGTGGTCAAAAATTGGTTTATTCAGAGATTTTCTACGAGGAAAAAAATTTGCTACAGTTTTATATTCACTCATTACCTTTGTTTGAGATGAAACTTTTTTTTTAAATGGAAAAAATCAATATAATGACGAAAATCGAGAGTTGTAATCTTAAGGATTGTACTCTAACAAACCAAATTCAAATCCAATTTAAGTTTATCAAGATATAACCAAAACAAAACTTACTAAAAAAGGAAACAACACATAAACAAATGTCTAAATGAAATGGAATTTACCCAAAATTGGCCCCACTTCAGCAATGAAGCTACTGACTTTTTGTTCATTGGCACATTTTCAATCAAATTTGACTAAAATTTCACTAAAAACAGACAACCTCAAAATTTTCCAAACACCTGGAAATTGGAGTTTTTAGCAAAAAAATAAAAAAAATTCTCCAAAAAAGCATGCTTTGTGCAGAGAGAACACTCCGTATAGCACGAAGAGTTCACTCTGTCTAGCAACACTGAGTTTGTTCACTTCGTGGCATGGAGAGAACACTACGTGTCACGCAAAGTGGTTCACTTCGTTTCACTAAATGAACCACCCCGTTTAACGGAGTTGTCCCACTATGTGACCATTCCGTGTCACTGAGTGATGCATGTAGTGTGTTCATGCTGCGACACGGAGTGTGTTCCTCCGTGGATGACCAGCAAGAAATCCCCCCAACAAGATCGAATGACTAACAAGAAAACTCAAAGCAACACCAAAATCGTACCAGACGGAACCCCAAGTTATTTTAAATCTGGAAATAACTCACCAGGAACTGCTAGTTGCCCAGAAAAGAAACTAAAATTGGACTGTCCGTAGAAATAAACCAAGTTTGCTACCAAACTGATTGAAAATAGAAACAAGAATAGAAAAGAGAGCAGCATGAGGTCCTATTCCTATATATACTCCTGTTGAACTGTCCTAAAACAACTATAATCTACACTACTCCTTTAGTTAACAACATAAACTTAATAATGGATAATAATTAAGGACCACTACTGAAATCGAAAATTCAATCAACAAGCTTAAAACATCATCTTATAAACTTAATAGTGGTGCACTCTGCAAATAATGGTTTTTATGGAAACACATTCAAGATCTGCAAATCTATTGATATTATAATAAACTATGTAGACTTTCAAAAAAAAAAAAAAAAACACACACACACACACACGATGTTGAGACAAAGACCATGCAAACAGTAAGTCTACACTACACTACTCGTTCATCTGTTTGAGGAAAATGTTATCAAACTTCACATATAATTAAGAGACAAAATGTATTCGAGTTTTAAACAAAGAAAAATCATGAGTTTACTCCCAAAGTAACATCAAACATGTATTAGTGAGGAGTTAAAGATTTACAAACCTGTAGAGGTAGGCTCGTTCCAAACCACTGAGTAAGATTTGTCTGCATTGAACAGTAGATCAGAAGTGAAAACACGAGAAAAGAAAAGTACAATCCACTGAAAGACCTCTTAATTAATATATCAGAAATTGAACTTGAAATCTGCTTCCAAATTCAAATGGAAGCAAATAAAGTCAAATGCTAAATTATTAAATCAAGAGATGTATAGTGTTCTGCAATGTTCTATAATAGCAGAGATCAAACTATACTAATCTTGTATTTGAGACAAAACAAGCAAGCGTGAGGAAAGTCAGCTGAAAGCCACTCCCTAGGCCAAAATGTTCCTTGTTTCCCAGCCTCTTCATCAATCTTCTTTACAAGGCCAGACTTAGTTGATGACTTGTCCTCAAATAACTGCCAATTTTTGAAGGGACCCCACATAAACCATGAACAAAGACAACATCCAGTGGAGGAAGCTCCATTTCTAAGTAGCTTTTATAGCCAGATCCCAAAGCTCCATGCCCCTTTTCAGAAAAAGAAATGAGTATCTAACTCAAACATGCTAATCGTAGGAAACCATCATATATCCTTTTATGTCTCCTTTTTTCCCAACTTAACTGAAATATTAATTGGCATGATTTTTAGAAGCAGTTCAATTTTTTTCCTAGTCTATTCAAATCGTTTAGTTTGGGAGAATAGAAACATTGTGAAGCATTACCAGGTACTTGTTTTAAGCATGGATTACTTTAGCCATCATAATTAAACAATCTAATTCAGAAATCCCTGGCAACTTATTAGTTTTTTACAATTGCAGGATGAAAACTATGTGATCATTTAAGTGAATTACTTGAACAATCTTTCTCTATACAACTAATGACAAAGAAAAACACCCCCAAAGCAATTATATAACCATTTAAGTAAATTACTTATGACCCAGAAAAATCACTTGCATTTAATTATGGCAAGCTGGTTACCATCCAGTGTTTACATCTTATCTATTTGGTATGGGAACAATCAACAAGATGATGTTACAAGAGTCCATAACGAACCTAGTGTTGCAACCAAATAATAATAATAATAATAATAATAATAATAATAATAATAATAATAGAGTTAATCTGAGGTAATAAGTTATTAAGTGCAGTATACTAGATACATGGCATGGATCAAGTTAAATCTAACCACTTGATATGAATTTTTAGTAAACATAAAAGATATTTTTCTTTTGTCCCGTGAGAACATTTGGTCATTTACCCATTTCTTAGATTACAGTCACCAATCCATATAATTCATTTAGTTCATTGTTCCCACTTTTATCTTCATTTGTATAGTTGATAGCTCTTAGCATTAACAACCTTATTCCCCATGCAGAAAATTAATTTTAAAAAACATAAAGATATTTTAAGCTCAAAATCCCCCTTCAACATCTAAACCCTGGAAGGTATAATTATTTATTTATTTTTTAAATTTATGAATTCTATTATTATGGAATACAATTGAAACCAAAAGTGAAGGTACGTGTATGCACACCACAGAAAAGTGCTTATAAATATCGAATTAACAAAAAATCGACCAATTCATTATGCACAAAAGAAACATATAATTATACGTCAGGTAAACTCATTCAAATGGGCATTTGGTGGATCCTTTGTTATGCTTATCAGAACACTTATTTACACTCAAAACACCCTTCAAAATTCAAAAACTCAAGAACATAGATGCCCAACATAACGTTTAATAAAAAACAAAAGCTTAAATGCAGGTACGAACCATAGCTAAAACTGTTGACATACATACTCATATACTTACAGAGCATTAGAATCCAAAAATTTAGAGCTGCCCATTTTGTCGAACAACTAATTATAAACCAAAAAAAGAGCAAAAAAAAAAAAAAAAAAACCCACTTCGTATATTCAAATCACGTTAAAAAAAAAAAAAAAAAGAAAAAAAAAAAAAAAAAAAGCATGAGG